AGCGGGGGTGGCTGTCTGATCAGAGTGGGAGCTGTGGGCAGAGGTGGCCTGAGCAGTGGGGGTGGCTGGGACAGTGAGGTGGGAGGGGGAGGGGGAGGGGGGGCAGGGGGCACCCCTCGGGGCATAGATGTTGAGACAGACGTAATCTGGACCTGAGGGGAGAGAGAAGAGTGAGAATCCAGGTGCTGTAGGGCCAAGGGAGTGCCTCTCCTCTCCTCTCTGAGGGGTTTCTCTCACCCCCTTCTCACCTCATCATCTTCCTCTAGGGCTGAGGCTGGCAAGGGAGCCCCTCTCCTAGCCTCCTCCATGGGGACCGGGGCTCCAGGGGCCCCATCCTGCTCGGCCTCCCATTCCTGCAGCACCTCCTCCAGATTGAAGCGGCGCCGGTAGCTCACAAAGAAGGTCTTCACCTGGGTCAGAGTCTTGTTCCCAATCACCTCTGCAATAGCCCCAAAGTCTTTGCCATACCTACGGATGGCTGCAAGGGTCAAAAGGGCAGCAGAGCGTGAATACCCCTGAGATCTAGTTACTTCCCTGATCCTTCTCCTCTACCCCCAGCTCCTTGGAGGGTGGGGAGATAGGTGCCTGGAGTCCTCTAATCTCCGCGTGGCCTAACCCACCTTGTACAGCCAGCAGCTGTTCATCTGTGGTCCAGCGGGAGTTGAACTTGGTGTTGGCCTGTAGAGCAAGGAATATATCCTGTAAACCCAATCCTGTCCCCGAGCAGAACTCCCGTTTCCACCTCCAAAGAGCCCCCTTTCGTTCCCCCCCGGAATATATCCTGTAAACCCAATCCTGTCCCCAAGCAGAACTCCCGTTCCCACCTCCAAAGAGCCCCCTTTCATTCCCCCCAAAAAAAGAGTAGCCTTACTTCAGGGGGACGGAGTGGGTCAATGCCGCCCTCCAGGGCTTGGCGGAGGCTGCTATTGGTCTGTTTCATACTCTGCACCTGGGAAAGCCAGGAAATGGAGGACCATCAAACTCTCCATCGTAGGGCAGTCAGCATCGCCAACCCTCTCACCAGGGGTCTATGTCCCCCAGCAAAGCTCTCTGCCACCCCATCTAGCTCGTTCCTCCCTCACATCTACTCAGCAGAAAGATGCTGTTTTCTTAAAGTTTGCCAGAAGACACATACACTCATGAGAGAGAGCGCACTTCCCCACAAGGAACAGTCACATCGCAATCCCCTCACCCCCAGGTCGAGATCTGGGGTATGTATGCACACACCTCCAGAGTTTCTCAAGTTGCCAGGTCCAGGATTTGAACCACAGGGAAGGCCATGTGGAATCCAACCACCTTAACACAAGGCCATGGGGCTGGCCTGATGCTGGCATTTTTTAAGCAGGCCCAGAAAAGAATGCCAAGTTACCCAGAACCCCAGATGAGACGGCTAAGTGTGGCATCTACACCATCTCCCTTACACCTTAGCTGCCCCCAAATTCCCGTCCCCAGGTGCTGACTGCCCGCTCTGCATGGCCCTTTCTTTTCTTGGGCCCCCACCTGGCGCTTGAGGGAGATGAGCTGGGAGTCAAGACCTCGGAGTGTGAGGTTGGCAAGGTCCGGGCTCCCGGACACAGCAGTGAGGCCCTCAGGACTCAGGTACATGCCCTTTGGTGGGCGTCGCCGGGTTCGCAAAGGGTGGTGGCGGTACTGAGATGCCTGCACCTCCTTCTTCCCAGGGCCTGGGCGTGCGTTCAGGGGCCGAGAGGGCAGAGGCTGCAAAGGAAAGAGGGAGATGGATGGTACCCAGCCCAAGAAGTCTGTGGTTAGGCAGGGCCAGACCAGTTCTGGGACCTCACCTCTCCCTTGGGGTCTCCAGCATCTGGCTCTCCCTCACTTACAGCTCCCCGTCCTTCTTCTAGCTCATCACTGCTGACAAAGATGGCAGGGAGGGAATCAGGCAGGGTCAGGACTCCGCCCCCACCTAGCGCTTCCCAGGCTCCCACCTGTCTTCTTTGTCCTTGCGACCCCCCAGCCGCCGCGCCTGTCTGTCCATCACGCTAGTTCGGCTGCGGGTCTTCTTCCAAGAGTAGTAGTACTTCACCAGGCTAGGAATGAGCTTGTCAGGTAGCTGGAGGAGAGGTAGTGATGCCTGAGTTGGGACCCTCCCAAGACTCAGGGCCCTGGGGAAGCTCATCAGAAAGGAGGGGCTGGGGAGTGTTGGTGGGTGGAGGCAGGGCAGCGGAAGGACTTTACCATCTGCTGGATCCGCTGGAAGCACTTGCCGTGGAAGCCAAAGGCTTGCTCAAATAGCACCTTGTCCTCTACTGTCCACTCGTCAGGGAAGGGGGTAAAGTTGGCTAAGTCGGCTAGTGACTTCTCCACATCGTGTTTGTGCCACAGAAGCATGCCCAGGGCCTGGCCCGGGATAAGGGACAACTCAGACTCGTTTGCCTCTAGCACTGCTCCATGCCCACCCCGGAGAGCCAGGGCTCACCTGCTCAATGTTATAGCCATGCTTCTCCTTGGCCAGGCTGAGCAGAGTGGGAGCTGGGGGCAGCGGTGGCCTGAGCAGTGGGGGTGGCTGGGACAGTGAGGTGGGAGGGGGAGGGGGAGGGGGTGCAGGGGGCACCCCTCGGGGCATAGATGTTGAGACAGACGTAATCTGGACCTGAGGGGAGAGAGAAGAGTGAGAATCCAGGTGCTGTAGGGCCAAGGGAGTGCCTCTCCTCTCCTCTCTGAGGGGTTTCTCTCACCCCCTTCTCACCTCATCATCTTCCTCTAGGGCTGAGGCTGGCAAGGGAGCCCCTCTCCTAGCCTCCTCCATGGGGACCGGGGCTCCAGGGGCCCCATCCTGCTCGGCCTCCCATTCCTGCAGCACCTCCTCCAGATTGAAGCGGCGCCGGTAGCTCACAAAGAAGGTCTTCACCTGGGTCAGAGTCTTGTTCCCAATCACCTCTGCAATAGCCCCAAAGTCTTTGCCATACCTACGGATGGCTGCAAGGGTCAAAAGGGCAGCAGAGCGTGAATACCCCTGAGATCTAGTTACTTCCCTGATCCTTCTCCTCTACCCCCAGCTCCTTGGAGGGTGGGGAGATAGGTGCCTGGAGTCCTCTAATCTCCGCGTGGCCTAACCCACCTTGTACAGCCAGCAGCTGTTCATCTGTGGTCCAGCGGGAGTTGAACTTGGTGTTGGCCTGTAGAGCAAGGAATATATCCTGTAAACCCAATCCTGTCCCCGAGCAGAACTCCCGTTTCCACCTCCAAAGAGCCCCCTTTCGTTCCCCCCCAAAAAAGAGTAGCCTTACTTCAGGGGGACGGAGTGGGTCAATGCCGCCCTCCAGGGCTTGGCGGAGGCTGCTATTGGTCTGTTTCATACTCTGCACCTGGGAAAGCCAGGAAATGGAGGACCATCAAACTCTCCATCGTAGGGCAGTCAGCATCGCCAACCCTCTCACCAGGGGTCTATGTCCCCCAGCAAAGCTCTCTGCCACCCCATCTAGCTCGTTCCTCCCTCACATCTACTCAGCAGAAAGATGCTGTTTTCTTAAAGTTTGCCAGAAGACACATACACTCATGAGAGAGAGCGCACTTCCCCACAAGGAACAGTCACATCGCAATCCCCTCACCCCCAGGTCGAGATCTGGGGTATGTATGCACACACCTCCAGAGTTTCTCAAGTTGCCAGGTCCAGGATTTGAACCACAGGGAAGGCCATGTGGAATCCAACCACCTTAACACAAGGCCATGGGGCTGGCCTGATGCTGGCATTTTTTAAGCAGGCCCAGAAAAGAATGCCAAGTTACCCAGAACCCCAGATGAGACGGCTAAGTGTGGCATCTACACCATCTCCCTTACACCTTAGCTGCCCCCAAATTCCCGTCCCCAGGTGCTGACTGCCCGCTCTGCATGGCCCTTTCTTTTCTTGGGCCCCCACCTGGCGCTTGAGGGAGATGAGCTGGGAGTCAAGACCTCGGAGTGTGAGGTTGGCAAGGTCCGGGCTCCCGGACACAGCAGTGAGGCCCTCAGGACTCAGGTACATGCCCTTTGGTGGGCGTCGCCGGGTTCGCAAAGGGTGGTGGCGGTACTGAGATGCCTGCACCTCCTTCTTCCCAGGGCCTGGGCGTGCGTTCAGGGGCCGAGAGGGCAGAGGCTGCAAAGGAAAGAGGGAGATGGATGGTACCCAGCCCAAGAAGTCTGTGGTTAGGCAGGGCCAGACCAGTTCTGGGACCTCACCTCTCTCTTGGGGTCTCCAGCATCTGGCTCTCCCTCACTTACAGCTCCCCGTCCTTCTTCTAGCTCATCACTGCTGACAAAGATGGCAGGGAGGGAATCAGGCAGGGTCAGGACTCCGCCCCCACCTAGCGCTTCCCAGGCTCCCACCTGTCTTCTTTGTCCTTGCGACCCCCCAGCCGCCGCGCCTGTCTGTCCATCACGCTAGTTCGGCTGCGGGTCTTCTTCCAAGAGTAGTAGTACTTCACCAGGCTAGGAATGAGCTTGTCAGGTAGCTGGAGGAGAGGTAGTGATGCCTGAGTTGGGACCCTCCCAAGACTCAGGGCCCTGGGGAAGCTCATCAGAAAGGAGGGGCTGGGGAGTGTTGGTGGGTGGAGGCAGGGCAGCGGAAGGACTTTACCATCTGCTGGATCCGCTGGAAGCACTTGCCGTGGAAGCCAAAGGCTTGCTCAAATAGCACCTTGTCCTCTACTGTCCACTCGTCAGGGAAGGGGGTAAAGTTGGCTAAGTCGGCTAGTGACTTCTCCACATCGTGTTTGTGCCACAGAAGCATGCCCAGGGCCTGGCCCGGGATAAGGGACAACTCAGACTCGTTTGCCTCTAGCACTGCTCCATGCCCACCCCGGAGAGCCAGGGCTCACCTGCTCAATGTTATAGCCATGCTTCTCCTTGGCCATTGCAATGTACTTGTCAACTGCAGGGGCAGGAGGAGTGTGATCTTGGAGGAAGCGGTAACAGCTCCTAACCCAGGCTCACGCAAAAGGGGTCCCTCCCAGAGGCTGAGCCTCTGTGCCTGAGCCCCAGAACTGGCTGAGTCCACTCCTCTGCCTTCAGGTTCCCTGGAGCCCCACTCCCGACAAGAACCACCCTGGGGTGGGACGCCCCAAGCCCCCAATCCCTAGGGATAGGATGAAGCAGGGCAGCCCACTCACGCTTGGCATCTGACACGCAGTGGTTGGGCGACCACACCAGCATGCCCTTCAGCTCCTTGTTGCTGTAGCGTGCTGGGCTCTCTGCAAAGCCAAGAAGCAGGAGGCAGATGCTCAGATGAGCCTGGACCCATGGCCAGAGGGCAGCAGAGAAGTGGGGCCTGGGAGGTGAGGCCCAGAGGGAAGGAGGGGCAGAAATCCAGACAGGAAGGCAGAGCAGGAAAACCAGCCATGCCATGGGGCCACCCCCGCCCGCCGGCTGCCTGCCTGTCCTTCGAGTGGAGCCAGCCAAGGACTCCCCAGGTGGGGCTCCAGGCCAAGCCATCGGCCTCCACTCCTCCCTTCGCAGCCTGTCCTGCCACTCACCAGGCTTGCACTCCGGAATTACGGCCTGGTAATTGGTTCCAACGCGGATCATGCTGTCTGTGGAGCCAGGGGAAGGCAGTCAGGACTCCAGGGAGG